GATCTCTGCAACGGTCATGGTGTCTATTAAAGGACTCATTACCAGTCATTCAACCCCTAACTACTGCTAGTTATGCTCCATTTGGTTACGAGAAGTGGTATCAAAGAGTGAATTTTCACAACATAATAGCTATTTCAAATACCAAGCAACATATTTGACATGCATTTATTCGCCTGTGATAATTTTCCTAAACAACGACTAAATTATTTTACACTATGAAAAGTCCCTAAATGTGTCCATGATGTGTACACCATTACTGGCTTCTGCAAAGGGTGCAGCTCATCCAGAACCCTAGAAAGATATTGAGACACATTTTATGACAACTTCAAGCCATTGTCCCAGAATAGTCACAATGTGCTGACTACTCCACCTGGTGACCCTACTGAGGCATGCAAATGTTCAGACCGTAAATCAGTAAGAAATGTGCAATGATACAATGTAATGCAAGAGATGAAATAAAACATTGCAATTAGTGATTGAGTTTATTATATGATTACTGTAAACATTTTCATATGGCATGGATATCAAAGGCAGTTGTTTCTATAGCAATTAGCGTAGATGGCAAGGAGGAAACCATGTAATTTTATGAGATCAGTGTAATCTTTTAATTCTTTTACTTGGCATGGCACTATATTTCACAGCCATTAAATAAATGCCCAAAGTAATTAGTATTCATGCATGTTTTAGCGTATCCCCTTGGATCGATTTACAAATGTGGGTATATGCACTTAAATGACAGTGTGGTTTAATTATCACTAATACTAAAAAACCTTTATAAGGATACTAAAGAATGTATACCATTACTCTTTCAAGCATCCCTATATTTATTGATTCAACCTGGACAGATTTCCCTGAGGACCCATCAGCATTTGTTTTGAAGTGTTACTTTTGGGAAGATCTCTATGTATACTTCATCACGAGTAATCAGGGGTGAAAATTTGGCTAAGCGTGAGCCTTGAACAATGCAGACCAGCTTGGACAGCAAATTGCCTTTCTTGTTCTCTCCATGACCAATTCCCAAAGAAGATTACAAGCATAGCTGCCAGATTGGGTTTTTTTAAAGCCTACACATTGGCAGATGTTCAGGGTCTGACTCAATGTGCAGCCTAAATCGGAAACTGGAACAGTGGCCAACTATAAAATAGACTGTAAAGAATATTATTCTTGATATGTACACTTAAATACAGACATGCACATTTTTTTTTTTCAGTTAGTAATTGCTGTAGTGATGTATCATTATTATTTTTTAAGCAGCTGTATTGCATTAGTTTTGGTACTTTTGCAAGTTAATTTAATTTTGTTATATTTCTTTGTCAAGTGTATTTAATTATGCCTTGCAATATTGCAGTAACACCAGCCATAATTTCGTATTTCATGTAGAGTACGTACAAAGTATATATGGACATTACCCAGTCAAATTACTCATATAATTGTATTGCATTCCAATAATCTCCAAAAGGTTTTCAATACATACTATTCAGTTAAAATTCATAATTTGTATTCATGAAAAAAACATCTAAAGGACACACAAAAAAAAGCCCAGCTTAGCAGGGCTCAAAACATATGGAGATTTAAAATAGTACGCCTTTCAGATCATTTCTCATCATCATCATGTTGCAAATATTGTTTATCTTATGTGAAGATAATACTGCATATACATAATGACAATGGTATTAGATGTATATTAAAGTCTAAGCATAGCAACTGTGATGAGAGGCTTAATGAGCAGTGACTACATGTTTTATGGAAAAAATATTCAACTTCTTCAGAAGTATACGATAGGGGACTACTCTAAACACAGTATATAGAAAATAAGTAAAATACATATTAATCTATTCTGTATAGAGGTTTAAAGTATGTACCCAATATGGGAAAACATTACATGGCTGTGCTTCATAACATATCTTTCACACTACACATACATGTGCAGGCATTCAATATAGACATATGCATTGTATATCTCAACTGAACAACTATCCACATATTAAATTATATCGATATATCTCTCTTGTTTGTAACAACAACTTACCCATACAGAAGAAAGAGGTGAAATCTGATGTAGTATTAGTATTAAGGTTTGGAAGAAGGCAAGATGAGAATAAGTGCCATAAACTTTTAGCTACAAAATTGGTCTTACTAACATAGTCCCAATAGACTCTATATTGTGATAAATGCCCTTACTGGTCACTGTATTAGGTACGCCTTGCTAGTACTGGATTGGACCTCCTTTTGCCTTCAGAACTGCGTTAATTTTTTGTGGCATAAATTCCTCGAGGATTTTGGTCCATATTGACATTGTAGCATCATTTAGTTGCTGCAGATTTGTCAGCTGCAAATCCATGATGCTAAACTCTTGTTACACCACATCCCAAAGGTGCTCTATTGGATTGAAATCTAGTGACAGTAGAGGCCATTAGAGTACAGTCAACTCATTGTCATGTTTGAGATGATTTGAGCTTTGTGACATGGTGCATTATCCTTCTGGAAGTAGCCATCAGAAGACGGGTACACTGTAGTCATAAAGGGATAGACATGGTCAGCAACAGTACTCAGGAAGGCTGTGGCAATTAAGCGATGAGCAATTGGTACTAAGGGGCCCAAAGTGTGCCAAGAAAATATTCCCCACATCATTACACCACCAGCCTGAACCGCTGGAAAAATGGATCCATGCTTTCATGTTGTTTACGCCAAATTTTGACCCTACCATCTGAATGTTGCAACTAAAATCAAGACTTATCAGACCAGGCAATGTTTTCCAATCTTCTATTGTCCAATTTTGGTGAGCCTGTGTGAATTGTAGCCTCCATTTCCTGTTCTTAGCTGACAGGAGTGGCACCCGGTGTAGTCTTCTGCTGCTGTAGCCCATCTGCTTCAAGGTTCGATGTGTTGTGCATTCAGAGATGGTATTCTGCATACTTAGGTTGTAACGAGGGGTTATCTGAGTTACTGTTGCCTTTTTATCATCTTGAACCAGTCTGGCCATTCTCCTCTGACATCAACAAGGCATTTCCATCTACACAACTGCTACTCACTGGATATTTTCACTTTTTCAGACCATTTTCTGTAAACCCCAGAGATGGTTGTGTGTGAAAATCCCAGTAGATCAGCAGTTTTTGAGATACTCGAACCAGCCCATCTAGCACCAACAACCATGCAATGTTCAAATTCCCTTAAATCCCCTTTCTTCCCCATTCTTATGCTCAGTTTGAACTTCATCAAGTCATTTTCACCATGTCTAGATGCCTAAATGCATTGAGCTGCTGCCATGTGATTGGCTGATTAGCAATTTGTTTTTACCAAGCAATTGAACAGGTGTACCTATTAAGAAGGCCCGTGAGTGTAAATACTGTACATTAAGGCTTGGTTCACATTAGCTGACTCCAAAGTTGCTTGATTTTCAGTGCAACTTTGGAGTCCAACTTTGATATGACTATGAAGTGATTTGGATATTAGTTTTATACTCTCTGGCACTGAAGCCATATCAACGTTGGATTAAAGTAGTGCAGGAACTATTTCTGAAGTTTCAGCAACATCAGTAGTGTCAATTGGAATGGCTCTCATAGAGATACATGGCATTTCACATGTCCTATAGACTTTGGGTCTCACAAGTTGGATCCTAAGTTGTAGGAGTGTGAACCAATCCTAAAGGGACCCCACAATTAGAATAGATATATAATAAAGTATTCAAGCTCAAGATATATCCCATAATGAAACACAACCCCAATCTTGGTGTAGTCTTAAAGGTGTAGGCAAAACTTGCTTTTGGTTTTGGACAGAGTGGGGAGGGATTAGAAAACCTGTAAGGTTTTTATTGCTGTCTGTTTCCCCCCACTAGGAAAATACACCCTCACTATTTGTCCTGTTTACAGTTATCGCCAAAAGTAAACGTGAAAATTCCAGATTGTCACCACAACAGGAAAAATCTTCACCTGGGGACCATAGTTCTGGTGACAACAAGGAATTTCCTCATTTTGGAGGGCTTTCCTCTCACTTTTGCTTTAGCTGTGGGACATTAAGTGAAAGAAAATCTCCCTAGTGGGACACAGCTAGAAAAAATGGATAGGGGTTATAAACCTTACTCTATCCAACATGAAATTTGTTTTGCCTTTAGTTCTAACTTAAATATAAAAATGTCCAGACACTGGTGTAGAGTGGAAAATAAGCCCCATGAATATGACATTCAGCCAGGGTCTTCTCAGAAAATTTCCATAAGCTCTATCATGTAATAAATGGACAAGACGAGTCTTATAATTAGAATGGATAACCATAGATGTTCAATTAGCAGGAAGATTTTACAGAAGGATCCAAATACACCTGTAGCCTTCACTCCTCTCCAAAAAGGTGGGAACCATCTTGAGCTTGTCCCTTCTTAACTTAGTATTACGTATAAAAAAACATTTGCTGTTCCCCCTAAAGTCACAGAGCACATGCATATATATTTCATATAAAGTAGTCTGAATAATGAATGATGGTTGGTTGTAAGGCTCTTTGCCTTAACCCTTTTGCTGCCAGACTATGCTTCCCATTTTTAATTCTAACCGTTTGTCACTGTTTTTCATTTACAGCCTTAACAAATGTCAAAAGCCAGTCACACCATATATTTTCTAAAAGCACAGGGACTGTTCAAGTAAAAGATAATACTATTGATTTTTTTTGTCCCATGATAGTTGCAAAAACTTTTATCAAGCTATATTTTTCACCACAAATATGCTGAAATCCTTATTAGAACACACAAATACAATAGATAACTGAAAGTATTACCAAATCCTAAAAGACAAAAGTGTTTTTCAATATTTAAAGAAAAAATACCAAATATTTTAACTGCCTCCCGCCCGCCATATAGTACAATGACGGGCGCAAGGTGGTTCTTTCATTCTGGGAGGACATCATATGACATCCTCCTACTCTAACTGCGCATGCACAGCTCCGGGAGCGCGCAGCGCGGCGATCGGCGGTGCGCTGTGTCCCTTGGACACAGTGGATCACCGATCAACAGAAAGAGCCAAAGATGTCGGCTCGGTCATGTGATCAGCTGTGTCCAATCACAGCTGATCACATGTAAACAGGGAAATGCCGGTTATTGGCATTTCTCTCCTCACGAGCTGTCACGCTAAGGAGAGGAGAGCCGGTAATTGGCATTCCTTGGAGGGGACATATACACAGATCATCAGAGCCCCAGCAGTGCCACCTGTCAGAGTCCATCAGTGCCAGCTGTCGGTGCTCATCTATGCCACCTGCCAGTGCCAATCAGTGCTACATCAGAGCCACATTTCAGTGCCCATCAGTGCCACATAAATGCCACATATCAGTGCCCATCTGAGCTGCCTTTCAGTGTCATCCATCAGTGCCACCTATCAATGCCAGTCAGTGCCACCTATCAGTGCTACCAATCAGTGCAACCCATCAGCGCCAGTCAGTGCTGCCTATCAGTGTGCATCAGTGCTGCCTATCAGTGCCGCATAACAGTGCCAGCCAGTGCCGCCTATCAGTGCCATATATGAGTGCTGCCTTTCAGTGCCCATCAGTGATGCCTGTCAATGCCCATCAGTGCCACCTACCAGTGCCTCATCAGTGCCACCTATCAGTGTCCATCAGTGCAGCCTATCAGTGCCCATCACTACAGCCTCATTAGTGCACATCAGTGAAAGAGAAAAATCACTTATTTACAAAATTTTATAACAAAAACTAAGAAAAAATATTTTTTTTGCAAAATTTTCAGTGGTTTTTGGTTTGTTTAAGAAAAAATAAAAAACCCAGGTTTTGATTAAATACCACCAAAATAAAGCTCTATCTGTCACAAAAAAAGATAAAAATTTAATATGAGTACAGTGTTGCATGACTGCGCAATTGTCATTCAAAGTGTGACAGCGCTGAAATCTGGAAATTGGCCTGGGCAAGAAGAGAGAATACGTGCCATGTAGGCTAGTGGTTAAATTGTGCCATTTTGCAAAATGGAAAAAAATTTAAGGAAACTAAAGAGAGCAGAACTGTAAATAAGACAAGGCATTTGCCTAGGGCGGCATTTTTCAGGGGGGTAGCGCCACCCCCTGAAAGAAGGGATGGAAGAAGGGAAACACACAGCATGGGGACCAAGTGGTATCTGAGAGAGGCTGCCAGTTTCTTAATGGTGTATGCAGAGCCTGACTCTTGTTTCCTGTGATGTCCAGAGCTGTGAAGGTGAGTTTCTTCTCTCTATTTCCGGAGTGGAGGGGGGGGGGGGTTGCCAGTGTATGGGGGCGGTGGAAGTGGAAGGCTCTCTTGTGTGGGGGGAGGGCTGGGATGTTGTTGGTCAATGTCAGGCTCTCTTCATGCGGGAGGGGGGTTTTGGTCAGTATCAGGGTCTCTCCATGGTGGTGAGCCGATTTTTGTGTTGCCTAGGGCAGCAGGAAACCTAAATACACCACTGCCTACGTGTATTAAGGCATGATGTGAAGTGTGGTGAGTTGTTGTGTCAATCAATGTAAATGGCCCGCTAATGCACCTTGACATGACAATGCATGTGTGTTTCAGTGCACAGCAATGCACAGATGGGTGTAATCTGTGTATTATGATGTGCTGTTCTGGGGAAAAAAATAATTTTGTGTAGTGTGCTGGGAAACTATTCAAAATGAATGGGCTACCTTAACACAATGCACATTAATGAGCTAAAGAATGCACCTTGAAGATATTGATACTTTGTCCAATGAGGGCCTTATTAAAAAAAAAGTCATCAGAAAAGTTACAGCTAAGGAGAGGGGGGTGGAAGGAGTTAATTATGACTGATTGGGGATAACTAAGGTTTCTTTCCCACTGGGGAGTTTTTGAAATGCTTTTGCATTGAAAAAAAATACCTGAAAAGCTCAATAAAAATGCTTCCTTATATATGTCTATGTATGTTTTTACACTGGGGCATTGTGCTTCCGTTGCCGTGTAAAGACTCCTGCTTGCAGCATCTTTGGAGCATGTTTGTTAGGTTAAAAAAAAAAACTCCCCAAAAATGCCTCTTCCTATTGAAATCAATGGAAAACACCTAAAAAAGTCTGAAAAGCGCCTCAAAAATTCTGCTAAACATTTTTGGTGCAGATTTTAAGTCACGTGTCCTTTAAAAAATGCTCAGACAGCATGGCAAAAGCATAGTAAAAACGCTGCTGTGTTTTTGCAGCAGATCAGTGTGAAAGTAGCCTAAGGGTTAAATAGGTGCACCCTTTTTTTGCTAGCAAAGTTGAACTGACATCATATGGTAACTCCTGTGATCTTCATATGAATGAAACAGAATAAATATACAAGTTATAATGTCACTTTGTATTTTCTATGAATCGTGTTTGAGCATCATTTATAAAAATTGTTGAGAGTTGATTCAGAATAAATACAATAAATACAAAGTAACATTATTGCTTATTTATATATATTTCTTTATACATGGTGTCCATTTATGAAAGAGAGAAAAGCTGAGACCTTGATGATCACAGCTGATCTCTCAGGTGTGCCAGTTTATGAAGCTGAGGTGAGGATCAGAGAACGTTTTCTTCACTTCTCATCACAGGAGACATCCTTCTCTCTTTCACTTTTACAGACATGGCCAGTTTATGAGGGTGAGATCTACAGATCTCACTGGCCATCTCTTTAAAATATCTCTTTCCCAGATTCTCCAGCCCAGAGCTGGAAATCGTGGTAGAAAGCTGCTGTGATGTGAGGAAGAAGGCTTCTTTCTTCCTAATATCTGCACCAGCGAGGTTAAACATTGATATAAATTATATGTTTTATGTATATATGTTTTTATAAATAGTGTACAGTGTGCTATATATACATATACACAGTTATAGTGTATTGTTGTTTAGAATGCATTCACACCTAAGCAATGCAGAATTAACCACTTGAGCACCTGAGGATTTACCCCCCTTAATGACCAGGCCTCTTTTTGCTACTCGGCGCTGCACTAATTCAACTGATAATTGCGCGGTCATGCAATGCTGCACCCAAACGAAATTTACGTCCTTTTTTCACACAAATAGAGCTTTCTTTCGGTGCAGTTTGATCACCTGTGCGCTTTTTATTTTTCACGCTATAAAAAAAAAAAGGAGAAAAATTTTAAAGAAAAACAATATTTTTTACTTTCAGCTATAAAAAATATATAGTAAACTCAAAGTTGGTTAAAAATTTAGGCCAAAATGTATTCTGCTCCATGTTTTTGGTAAAAAAAATCCCAATGAGTGTATATTGATTGCTTTGTGTGGAAGTTATAGCAGCTACAAACTATGGTATAAATACTGCAATTTACGCCATTTTTCTGCTATACAGCGCTGTGCTAGTTTAACGGACAATTGTGCGGTCATGCAATACGGTACATAAATGAAATTTACATCCTTTTTTTCCCCACAAATTGAGCTTTCTTTCGGTGGTATTTGATCGCCTGTGTGGTTTTTATTTTTTGCGCTATAAAAAAAAAGGCTGACAATTTTGAGGAAAAAAAAAACAATATTTTGGACTTTTTGCTATAAAACATGTCCAGTAAAAAAAAATGCAAAAATCAAATTTAGTCATAAATTTCTGCCAAAATGCATTCTGCAACATGTCTTTGCTAAAAAAAAATCCGAATACGTGTAAATTAATTGGTTTACGTGAAAGTTATAACATTTACAAATGGCGGGAAAGATACTGGAATTTTAAATTTTTATTTATACTAATAATGGCGCTGATCAGCGACTTTTGGCAGCAATCAGAGACATATGGCGGTGACCAGCGACTTATGGCAGGACTGCGGCGGACATTTTGACACTGGCTTGGGGTCACTGACATCCCCAGTGACACCAATACAGTGATCAGTGAAAAAAAAAAACACTGAAACTGTACTGTCACTGGGGAGGAAGGGGTTAACATTTTTAGAATTTGCTGTGTAAGGGGAGTGTTTTACTAGGGGGCGGGGGTGTGTACTGGACGGGGGAAGGGGGGAGCTGATCCAGGGAGAAAAACTCTGCAGCTTCTCACAAGCTGTCAGAGAACTGACACAGAACAGGGCTGTGTGTAAACAATGCAGCCCTGCTCTGTGTCAGCGAACACTGGCAATCGCGGGAAAACCCGTTGGCTGACACCCGCTGCTGACACCCGTGGGACAGGTAGGGCGGGTGCGCGCCTCCTACCTGTTTTGAAGGCAGCTGTTTTAAACCGTGCTTTTGCCTACGAACGCCGCCCTGCCACCGTTTATATGCGGTGGCTGGGCGGTGTTAAATATCGTGACACTTATATTATTTAAGTGTCTGTCTTAGGCATTTGAGGTAAAGTGTTCTAGTGCCAGGCTGATTTAAAAAACACTGTGACTTTTATTTAATTCACACTTGGCATCGACATAAAATGAATACAAAAGATAAAATAAAATACAGAGTAAAATATAACAAAAGTTGTAGATTATGAAAAAAGAAATAAGCTTTGGAGAAATGTCTAATCTCTTGCCTGTTCTATGACAAGTGTTTCAGTCTTGGCAAGGAAGACAACAGGTGTATCAAGGCTTTGTAGGCCTTAAGAAAACAAAAATGTCAGTGTGTGTCAGCTGTATAATGTATGGATGTGTATCTGGGAGTGAGTGAATGCGTGTGTGTATGTATCCCTCTATCTCTAAGGCACATCTTATATATATTTTACCAGACCAACACACTAAACAGTTATTTCCTAATTCAGTGTGAGCTAAATAAGTAAAACCCTTTTTTGTACTTCCTCTATACTTATACGTCTTAGTGTCCATATTTGTAAAGCTTCTATACTTATATTCTTAGTGTGACGTTATCTTCAAACCTCTTAGACGACAGAAATACATGATACTGTTACATGATATACAATGGCTTCACATATCTTTAGAAAGGGACAATATTCACATAAATGCATATAACCAACAATAATTGATACTAAACTTATCACACACTATTCCTAACTAATAAATTAATTATATGAAATAATTATCCAACTAACTATATTATAGATTAGACATGATTTTCTTTATAAAAGACATATACTTTCTTTGCTCTACTGCATACCAATATCTTTTTACATTCCAATTTGCTATTCTTAAAACAAGCTTATGACCTGCTGACCTCTTAGACATGAATATACCATGGTTCATCTTTAACACCTGTTTTCCAAAGCTTTCATACACACGCAAAGTTAAAAATTACTTGTCATTTTAGAGGAGACACTGATATGAAAAGATACAGACGTCTGTTTTATGGTAAATTAATTTCTTACAGGCGGCAAGTGGTTAATGGCAGAATTGACAATTCTTGTGGCAATTCCAAATTGTGCTAAAATTCTGTTAAAATACTCAGTGTGTGCTTTTGGGTGCTAATGGCACCCCAAATGATGTTAGCAGACACATATTTTGCCGCACAATGTGTCACTTGACAAATATGCTATCAACGCACCAAAATACACAATGAAAAAACACACAACACTCCTTGCCCAAAAAAGGTTTAGTTTGGCTTTTTTGGGCATGTTTAATGCATATTTTGGTGCAGTTTTTAACAAACGCTGCTTTTTTCTACATACTTTTTTAAAAAATGTGAGCTAAAATTTTAATGTGCATT